GGTTGACGAGTCCTTTGAGTTTCCGTTAGCGCCGTCAAATACGCCGTTATCCTCGCCCGCGTCGAGCGCGGGTTCGTTGCTTGAAAAGTCGAAAAGGTCCTCGACGATGAAGTGGTCTTTCGTTGAGTAGTAATCGGAGACCTCCATTGGAATTTTGAAATTTTAGGGGGGTCTTGGAAATTTGTTGGCGGAGCGAAAGAGAAGAGAGAGGATAAGTAAGAGAGGGAGTGAAGGAGTGCTGAGTGAGTGGAGTTTTGAAAGTGGAGTGAGGAGGGTGGGGGGCGTGAGGGAGTAAATAAAGAAAAAGGTGAGGGGTGAAGTAAAAAAGTAACTGCAAAAATTACGGAAGAAATCTGCCGCTCGCCCCCATCGTTTTTGACACTACAGCTTTGGATTTTTCTTTTCTTTCTGTGCAGGGAAGTTGTCAGGGATCATGATTCAAGATTCTTTGATTGACAAACTTGCCCCTCACTAGTCCATAGTAAACTGTACCAAAAAAAAAAGAAAAAAAAAAAGAAAAGAAAGAAAAGAAAGAAAAAGAGCGGGGAAAAACTTCACTCTTTGATTTGTCGGAGCTCTAATACGACACAAGTACAACCATAATTATTATATAAGGATCAGTAGCCGATAGACACCCTCTAGTATGGTTATCCTGAATTTACTACCCTCTAATTTTGCTTTTCCAGATAAATGACTAAATGAAATTTGACTTGTGACGCCACTAGTTTCACACAAGACTTCAGTCCAAGATAAACTCAAAGATGTCAAACATGTCATGCATCCACACTATGCAACAACACGTTTCACCATCACAGTAATATCTCTCTAGTGAAATCAACAATAATCAATTGTAAGTACAAAGCAGAGAAAATAAAGATAAAAATGCAATGAACATGATAAATAAAAGAGATATCAAAATAATAATAATCATGTTCCAACTGAAATAAATAAAGTACAACCGATGTCCGAAACATAGATGAAATATCTCAATACATAAGAGTCAACTGAAATAGTACTAAGGCACACAACATTCCAAAATAAAATACAACTCTAATGTCTAAAAATAAGCTATAACTACTGTGGAGCACAAATAAACTACTAATAATAAATAATGATGAAAGCTAAGCCGAAACTCCATCAACCTGTGACTCTCCGAGCACTTGACTCGCTACCTGAAAAGAGGGAAAACAACGAGTGTCAAAGCGCTAACGAGAACATCTCCATCGCCCCCAGAGGAAGGAGGTTAGGAGTATAAAGATACATGTTAATACATATAGATATATAAATCATCTATCCTGAACTAAACGAAAATTGATATTTAGAAATCCACAACACGAGAATGGGTACGTCGAGCGAAATAATTCAAATAAGAAAACCCTCATGTATATACCTCGTATCTCAAATTATGAATCGCTAAATACCAACTCTAAGATCCTATGAAACAAAAAAAATAAATAAAAGGATAATACATTACCAAGCCTCAACCCATATAAGTCATAAAAATATCTCACACTACCCTCAGGTAGATGGCACAGTCACAAGGATAATAATCTGGTAAAAAAATTTCACTTAATATATATCGTGTATGACAGTCTCAGTCTTTGATGCGACATAAACATGTACCAAAAAGGTTGCAAGTGCACAACCGTGTCAAGTTATAGTATTTAAGATATCGATCCCACGAGGAAGGTGTTTTGTAGGAGAAAATATGAAATCGGTTCTTATGTTGTGTGCGTGACAAGTAGGAGTGATAAGTGAATGTGATTGTGAAGAGATTGAGAGAATGAAAATGGTGTGTGAATAGGTGCAAAGTGTAAGTGAGAGTGGATTTGAGTATGATCAATAAGGTGAGAAGGAAAAATGAATAAAATCAAGAAACAAAAATAAAAAAAAATCAAGAATGAAGAATAAAATTCAAGAATAAAAGAAAATATAAGAAATTAAAGATGGTGGATTCAATTATAGATATGGATAATCTAAAATTGAACCCACTTCTTAGAAAAGGGTGATTCCCTATAGGATTCTAGCCTAAAGACGAATCAAACAAAATAAAAATAAACAAAAAGAAAAACTAAACCCAAGAGGGTTCTAGCCTCACGGTGAATAGTGTAAGAAATTAAAATCTAACTACAAAATAAATTGCAAAATCTAAACTACAAAATAAAATTGTAAGAATTAAATGAACGAAAATAAATCTACTCTATAAGTATAAAATAAATCTAAGGCAAGAGGGTTCTAGCCTCTTGGCTATTTAACAAGAAAATAAAATCTAACTACAAGCATAAAAATAAATCTAAACTAATAAGCAATAAAAGAGAAAAAGAAAAGAAATACAAACCTTCAAATAATTCTCCATCTTAATCTTCATCTTCATCATCCAACAAAGAGAAGAAGAGAAAAATTTAAAGTGGTGAAAAAAATTATTATTATTAATTGCAACTAAAGTTATAATTTTGAAAGACCTTCTCAATTAAGAGTAGCCCTCCTCTCCAAAAGGAGTTACAAAAATTTTCACACTCTTAACCCCTCACTCTCTACCCCTATTTATAGTAATCTTCAATGAATATGAGTCATTGGATTTATCTTAAGCCCCAAGCAATAATCTCCACCTTTGAATTTGCTTTTTGTTCTTCTCTAGCTCAACCATAAGAGGTCCATATGATTTTCAAAAGACAAATGAAAATCAGCAGCCCACATCCGGTCCATGGAGAAATTCTGCAGCCCAATTCGGTCTCAAAACAGAAATTAATTTTCAAAATCTAAATCCCAGCAGCCAAGGAAGGTCCGACCCATGAGGTTTTCTTGTAAAAATCCAATGCAGCAATTAATTCCGGTTTCCCAAGTCTAGCAGTCCAGGTCCGGTCCAATTGTTGAAAATCTGCAGCCGGTCTTCATCTCATTTGATTTTGAAAATTAAAAGCCAAGCCCACATTTCATTTGTCTGCACAGCTGTCCAGCCCATTGGAGTTTGCAGCAATCAATATTCGGTCCTCATGTGATTTAAGTCCGGTCATATGAGCTAATTAATGAAAGTTCATTCAAAGTTGCAGCACACATTTAAAAATCAAAATTGAATAGCTGCAGCAAAGTTTTGGAAGTCCGGCCCATATACAAAAAAAAAAAAAAATCAAAGCTTTAGCAACCATCAAGTTCCATGGGTGTAATGGGCTTTGGGCCTTCAAAATTCACTTAAAAAAAATGAAGATTCATTCTTGATGCATGATGTGCTTTGTTTTATTTTCTTTCTCCTTTGGGCCATCTTTGCTTGATGAGCTTCATTCATTTTGGGCTTCAATCATTTTCCTCTTTTAAGCTTTTGCTTCATGGGCTTCTAAAATGCTACAAAATAGAGAAGAGAGATTTTGAGGGGTTTTTATATTTAATAATATTTATTTATATTTTTATTCAATTATGTGGAAACTAAGCTAACAACAATTATTAATGGTAAAGCAGGTGACTCTTGGCTATGGAAGCAATTAATCAAGTCTAGAGACTATGCTGTGAACTAATTACTGGGTGGTGTTGAGAACTTGAAGAATCTAATTAGCTCTTGCTATGTAAACTCCAAAGTCCGCCTCTCTGCTCTGTACAATGCTCTAAAATCAGGTTCAAAGGTAGACTGGCATGATACTGTTTGGGAAAAGTTAAACTATCCCAAGCATTCCTTCATTATGTGGCTGGCCATTCAAGATAAACTCCTTACACAGGATAGATTGCACAAGAGAGGGATCATCCAATCAAATCAGTGTTTGTTGTGTGAAGGTGCAGTAGCTGAGAGCAGGAATCACTTATTTTTTGACTGCAACTTCTCCAATTGTGTGTGGAATGGCATTATGGAGTGGCTTAATTTCAAGTGGAAATCAGCGGATTGACATATGCTCATGAACTGGTATATTTCCAGGTTAAGGGGAAAAGGCAGCAAACAAAGAATTAAAAGACTAGCTCTCACGGCTACAATTTATAACATTTGGAGGGAGAGAAATGCTAGGATCTTCAAGGAGGAATTCAGGAGTGTAGAACAGCTGATCAAGGCCATAAAAGTTGATACCTGGACCATCCTACTTAATAGTCAATTGCCTGATGAAGCTTATAAATGGCTCTTGTAACAGTATCAGGCAAATCAGTTTTGATACTTTTTGTTTCACTGTTTTTCTATTTTCTATTTTAGAATGTTCAGTTTGATACCTTAATGTTTTTGAGAGTCTTGATGTACAAAACGTTTACACTTTGGTGAGTGAAATAAAATTTTTTCATTGACCAAAAAAAAACAATTATTAATGGTATATTTATTCATGTAAAATAGATAATGATGGTATAAAATTGTAATAAAATGTGGTTATCAGTCTTATACCATACTCTCGGGGTAGATGACATGGGAGCATAAATACAAATCTGTATAATCCTCTAACAGAAAATAATCATGTTGAGTAAGGCGCTCACAATACCTGTGGCATCACCTACTTTACCCAAATACTCTGCAGAAATAGGCATGTCAACCTATCCTGGAATGATGCATCATAGAGTGTAGTCTACCACAGTCACATTATGGTATGCTAACTAATTCGCTCTAAGTGCAGTCTACCGTGGTCTCATTACGGTATACTAACTAACCCTACTCGAGCATCCGAACTTATTATGAAATGCAATATATGTCACTCTCTATCATAATAAACTCAAAATATAAGTTACGCATCTCCAAACGCTCGTGCGTGCTCAAATCCAGTGTGTGTACTCTCGTAAACTACACACGTGTATCAACGCGTGACTCGTACTTCGTGTTTGCAATCAAACGCGCATGAGAAAGAAACAAAGCTCACAAAAATCTCAGACCAATCGACCCATACCTTCCCATTAGTCGACTGGCAGAAACGTGCACAGAACATGCACATTAATCCATCCTTTGACCGGTCGATTGAAGTATGTTTTTGGTCCACCGGATAGAACAACATCGCTAGATCCTGTAACACATCAGTCGACTGATCGACTTG